ACAAAATCACATTATTTGAAAATAATGATTTAGCTGAAATTATTAATAATTTACAAGAATTATATAATACATATTCTTCTTTAAATAATCAAACAAATTTAAAAAAAAGTTATCATCTCAGGATTACTTTCTTAATTTGCTTAATCAAAATAATTATCAAAGAATGACATATGATGAATTAGATAGATATCTAAATTTTTCAATAGATAGTGATGTCAATCCTTTAATTTGGTAAAAAGTTCATGAAAAAGATTATCCTATATTGTCTCAAATGGCTAAGGATTATTTATTGATTTAAGCGACATCAGTTCTATCAGAAAAGCTTTTTCAATTTCAGGCTTAGCTATCTCAAAAGTTAGAAACAGGTTAAATCCTGAAACAGCAAGAGCAATTATTTATATGAAGCATTAGATTTCAGAAAAAAGGATTGTAGAAAATATATAAATTTATATTAAAATTATGGGGATGAATAATAAAGCAAAATTATTTTGATCAAAAACTTGATAGGAATGAAGTTTCGGTAATAATAGATTACAAAAAAAAAATTTTTTTTGTATAATTTGACTTTTTTTTGGTTTATTTATATTATAATAAAATTTTTGTATTGGGAATTTTAAATATCACACAATTTTTTATAGTTTTGTCAAAGATTTTTATAATAACCTGTATATATAAATTCTGGTTTAAATTTTAGTCTAAATTCCAGTTTCAAATTGATCTACAAACTGATCCAATTCGATTTTACCCTCAAACTGATAAAAATCAGACTGAAACTGAACTGGTTGAACCGTTAATATCCCTAGGCTTTAAGAGTCTTTTGCAGTATATTTTTAGATTATAAAGAAGTGGATTATTAAGTTGTATTTGTGCTTCTATTAAACTTTGTCTATTACTATATAATAAAGTATTATTTTTGTCTTTTATCTCACATAATAGCTTAATATTAACAATTATCATTTTAAGATCACATAAAAAATTCTTTAAATTTTCAATACAATTAAGATTTTTATCTGTTAAATCCATTCTAATCTTAAGATAAAAAAGAGCAGACTCTATCAGATGTCATTCTTTTTCTCCTAGCTTATCTACAACCTTGTCAATAAATCTCTTAACCCAATCTTGATAATTATTTAAAAATTCTGTTCAATTTTCTTTAATTTCTAGCTGATCCAACTGAGTCCTAGTATGAGCTATTACTGCTATTACTTTTTTACAATGGATATAGTTTTTTTTGTGAGTTCTGTCTATTCTCCTGTCTGCTATACATTGATCTTTCTTGTTCTTACTGATATTTATAATATCTTCAAGACATTCATTATTTTCATCCTTTATGACCTCAATCCCTTCCTCTAATTTATTACACTTCATGGTGAAAATAATTTTTTTTTTGCAAATGGAATAATATGAAAGATAATATATAGTACTTGTAAGATGCGAAAAGGTTGTTTATGACCATTTATTATGTGTTACTATGACGTATGGTTGATCTGTTTCAATGTTAGTATATAAGAAATGTATTTTAATAGTACTGTATATAAGGTTTAATATTTCAGAATATTAATAATTTTATTTAGAAATTTTTTGATTTTTAATCTTATTAAGATGATAAAATTCACTATTTGTTTTTTTTTTTTTTAATTTTTTACTTAGTAAATATATTAAATTTTATAGTAAATGTAATTTATTTTATAATAGCTCTCACAGATTGCTGGAAAACAAATATTATTTAACCTAAAATTTTCGTTATGATTTGGGAAGGCCGAAGTTCAATTTTCGGTCAAAATTATGATTACTCCGATTTGGGAATTGCGCATGTCCAAAATGATCACGACGGTTAATTTGTTTAATTTGATTAGTAACCCGCCACGCGTTTTTTGCCGACTACTCATATGCTTAAAAATTAATTGGACATGTGTAATAATTTAAAAAAGGATAAAATGCATAAATGAAAAAAAGAGGGTTAAGATACTTCAATTTTTTTCCACGAAAAAAAGAGGGTCTTTTTTTAAAAGAAAAAGTTTCTTGAGCAAAGCCTAAATATATAAATAAGGTCGTAGCTTCTAATTTTCAAGAAATCAACTTTCAAAAAAAAAAAATCTGAAACGAAATTAAAAATTTTGTAACTTATTTTTATAACTTGTTTATTGTAATTTTTTTTTTTTAAATGTCGCGTCGTTTTCTTTTTACGCTTTTATGTTCTTTTCTATTGATTATATACAGTGATATTCTCGTTATTCGATTAACTTTAAGAAAGAAAAATTAGAAAGTTTGTAACTTTTAACTATAACTTTGGATCTTTGTTCCTTTTTTTATTCTTTTTATGTTGTTTGTATCCAACCTTTCTATTATGTAGTGTTTTCATACGCGCTTTCGCCTCTCTTTGTGACGATATGTAAGTACTGCCAGTTAGTATGCTCTTTGCGTTGTAAAGAGTGGATGTGGTGATACTATTAATGTAATAATTTATCGACCAACGATTTTTTCTGATAAAGCAGTATTTCCTTCCGTTTTTCTGTAAAAGTTAAGACGTGGTTAAACATATTATTATTGTTCAAGATATGCGTAAGTAATAATTATTATTATTTTTTTTTTTTAGAAAAAAAATTCTCTTTAACGTACTTTACTATATTTTTGAAACAATATTTAGCTGATATCCGAGTCGATTAAATAAACAAGGAAATCATACAGATGAATTAAAAATAATGTTGAAGAACGTAAGTATTTGTTGTATTTCTCTTTAAGCTTTACTATGGTGATTCTCTAACTATATCTTCGCTTATCCTTCATTTATAATTAAACTAGTTCGTTTGATTTGCTAAGGTCCTTATTATTTCCTTTCGTTTTCAACTCGAGTTTTATTGGTCTTATATGTACACTTGGGTTTAAATAGAATTGGTGAGGTTCCTAGTACATACAGGGCCGTATCTGCTGGCAATGGGCTCCCAGTCTGTCTATTCCCTTATTGGTGTACTTAAACAAAGTGTTTATCCGGGAAATCTGACCTAGAGTTCTGGTTAGTGCTAATGGGTGGCCCGCTCGAGAAGAAATTGCTTAAATACATTTGTTTATGATTGGTCGGTCAGCCTGGTTGCGACAGTACCTTCCATCATTGATGAGTGTGTTTAGGGCCAGAAGCTAGGTAGTTAGAGTTCCTCTTATCAGGTCTGGCAATACTAGATTTCCTTAGGTTCTTATGATCCATTCATTTAATATCCAAAGTGTTTCGTATTTGATAATAAAACTCGAGTTTGGTGGAATTATTTTTAAAATCCCCTTCCCCTTTTAATTAGATTAATAGATTTTTTTTTTCGATTTTTTCATTAAATCATTACGAAAATTTTAAAGCTATCAAGTTGAAACATCAAATCTTTTGAAAATAATTTAATGATAATTCAAATAAAGCAAAAATTTTATTGATTGATTGAATACTTTAATTTTTGATTGAAAACTTTTTTGAACCTTTTTTTTTATTTCACATCAATTTGCGTCTTATATAAAGTTCCCACTTGATCAGAAACTTTTGAATGAAACTAAACAAATTGATCGTTCAATAATCACAAATATATGGAGTTGCGCTCTTTTTAACAGAAACAAGTATGGGTTTGTTTGACTTACTGCATGTTAAAAAAGGAAAAGCTAACGGATCGATTTTTTAAAAAGTCTACGCGAAAGATTGGCCAAAACTTGAATTACTGGTTATCATACCAAATTTCTTATGTAGCACCATACAAATGCCAATCACTTTGTATATGTGTGAGATTTGGATGAGATCACTTGAGAACCAAATATTTGTTTGTTTATTTATCATGTCTTGTCTTTTTAGAAATCCACGATCAACTAAAGAAAAGAGTGAATTTTTTTTTTTAAAAAAAAAAATCCTGATAATCAATTGAATCGTCTCCGTGCATTTCTTTGAAAAACAAATTATTAATTCGAGCCGTTATACGATAAAAATGGACCGAGCCGAGCCGTCGTGCAAAGCTTTATATGAAAAATAGATGAATGATTCTTGAAGTTTTGTTAAGTTGTTGATATATTTACTGGTGATGTAGAACTTATGCCTCTTTCAAGGTTAGCAAGAACTTTCTGTCAGACCAACCAACGAACACTTACGTATATATCTTTCTTATACAACGCTCTGTTTCAACAAAGGGTCAATAGATTGCACACAAAAGCCAAAGAAAATCGGAATACCTATGTTGATTTATCATGTACGGAACTCTTCGTGAATGGCTATAAATTAGAGATAGTTTCTACCTTGATTAACGGATAGTTATAAGCTTTTTATAAAGATTAATTGTTTTGACCGCTCAATAATTTAGTTATGTGATTTTAGAAAAGAGGTTATATTTTTTTTTTTTTTGATATTTCCCGGGTCTGGTTTTTAGAAATTCGAAATCCGGTATTAATAAACCGGTTAATTGTATAATTTTCTAAACAAATTATCAAAATCAAGTGAATTATAAATTTCAGTATTTAAAAAATTAAATTGATTGTAATTGATCTATACTTATGTATCGGATTTAATAATAATTTTTGAATCAGTTTCCTAATACTTTAAACATTAATTTGAACTATACTCTTTAGCAAATAATTTATATACATTATTTAATTATAAATATTTCAAAACCTAATAGTAATAATAATATTATTGTATTATATTATTTTAATTTAATAGTATAAAAAAAATTACAATTAAACTAGCCAGTACTTTTATCCAGTATACTAATCTGATATATGTAGTGAGAGTAAAAGTACACATGATCACTGACCAAACGAATTGATTTACTGTATGACCAGTATAAAAGATGGTCATATTGATAATTTTTATTGATAAGATTTATAAAATTTGAAGTATTTTATTTATCTTATTTAAATAAATAATGTAAAAAATTTTTAAATAAAGCTTTCTTGAAAAGTACAATTGAATTTTTGAAAATATGAGAAATGTAAAAGTTAAAAAGAAAGTAAATATAGAATATTTATGAAAATAAATGAGGGTTTATGTTAAAAATATTTGATAATCTTTGATATTCTAATATGACATCTTGATTTGATATGAAGGCAGACCTGTTTAAATAGAAGATTTCAATATTATTCCAAGTAGAACATCAGCTTAGAGTAATATAAGCTTGATCATGTGAGAAGATATTACTGACTAAAGCTAAAAATACTCTTGTTAAAGTTAGACCTTGAGTCTTGTGAACAGTCAAAGTAAAGTAATTTTAAAGAGAAAATTGAATATGATAGCAATTGTTTCTATTAATCTCAAAATAATGGGTATGCTTGTAAATATTAATATTAATGATCAAGCTTTTAATAGAGAAAACAATCTAAGCATATTCTTTAGAAGGACAGACATTAGTAACCACATTTATCATACCATTATATATGCTATATTGAATGAGAGAGTTATTTAGATACATTACTATACATTTGATTATAAGTAGATAGATAGCAAAAGATTTGTTTTTAGTTTAAATATAGGATTTGATAATGAAGATTCCTATTGTACAGCATTTATAATGTCTACAGCCTGTAAGATTATGAACTTTTTCATAATAACTGAAAGAAGATTACATATCATTCTATTGGTCTGATAAGCATTCTCTTTAAATCTAATAATATGCGTAGTTTTGAGCAGTGTGTTAATAAATAAGTGAAATAAGAATTTTAAATATCACTTTTGTAATCTGACTTAAGTTTTATCAGAAATGTTTTCTATTCAGACATCTTCTAGCATAAAGTAAAATTTTTTATCTTGACTTTGATGATGTAGAGTTCTTAAGAATAATAGGTAAAATAAAAGTTAAACAGCTACATAAAATATCTGTTGATTATTGATCAGTAAAAGTTACATTAGATCTCTAATTACTATGATATTCAAATCACTAAAAGTAAGAGTATTACTATAAAAGTTGACAAACATATTCGAGATAAAATCTAAGAGTTTAGCAGAGATCATGAACACTTCTTCAATAATTATAATGTTGATTCTTTTTAAAAAGGTTCTAGTTTATTATTTATATAAGTATATATAAGAAATTCACTATGTGTGAATGTGATGTATAATTCTGAATGGGTAGTAATTTCTTCTATATTTTGGACTATTATACTAGTAAAAGTGAAAAGAAGATAAGATTGCGATTTTTGGATATGGATATTTTAAATTATATGAATAATGAAAGTTTTACCAGTTTTAGCTGAACTAGTGATAAAGAAGTAAGGCTACGTAACGTTATCATTTCTACTTATATATATATTGATAGTTGAGAAAACATAGTATTGATCAAGAGAGAGTTTAAGTATAGCAGTCGTAGGAAATAGATGAGAAAGTATCATTAGATTGTTCATTTGAGATTAGATAATATCTAAGAGGTTAGTAGGAAGCTGATTAGCTAATTATTCCAATAACCTTTATAGCATTTTGATAAAGCAATTATTCAGATATATCATTTAGGATCAATATATAATTAAGGCTTAATTCTATAAGTTAGTTAAGAATTAGAATATAGAGACAGAAACTTTTTGCGATATATTTTATCAGGAGTAATCTTAAAATCAGATTTATTTTATACAGTATATTTAGTAATAACTGTTGATAAAAGTAAAGTTCTTCATCAGCAATTTTAAAAAATTAATATTTGATTATGATTTTTTTGATTATTTGATAACATAATTTTTTAGCTTATCATAGTAAACTTAACGTGTAGTTTTAGGTAGTAAAGAAGGCATAACTGAGTACTTTTCAAAATATTAGGGTAAGTAAAGGCTTTAAACTCTTAATTGGGATATATACTTCATAACAGTATCATCATAATAAGGATTATCATCATTTTTATTTATCATATATATAGAAAGAATTAAGTGTATTCATGTAGGAGGTAGTTTAGTGATAAGAAAATTGATTATAGCTAACAAATTGTAAATCTCATATTTTAAGAGCAAAAATATGAAATCTATTAAACTAAAACAACATGCAATTACATGTTTTCTTAAGAGATCATTTTCATAAGTGATAAATTTATGTAATAGTTCTTTTTTATGATATACTTTGTCATATAGTAAGCAAATCCTTTATCTGTTATATATTGAATATTTATGTAAGCATTCTAGAGTAATAATATTAACGTGTAATAAGAGATGATCTAAGAATCAGCCTCTATTAAATGTACTGATTTTCTTTTTTAACATGGTGTGTTGTTTCACTGAAAAGTTAGAAAAAACCTTTTTTATACATTTAATCTAAAGATGCAAATCCTTGACACTTCACATTACAGATACGTATTTAATTAGTAATAATAATAGTATATAGTTTTAGTTTATGTAGGAGATCTAGCATAGTCGATTAAATGATATTATTTGAGATTATTTCATCTTTTATTTTAAAACTTTATATGGTTAAAGAATTTAGTAATGTCACTAAAACTCGTAAATTCTGATTTTTTATAAAGCTCTTTTTTTAATAACTGAAACTTGTACACAAAGTAATTAGTATAGTGAAATAATCTATTTGTTAGTAATGTATCTTCATTATCACTATTCACAAGTATTTCTTGAAATTAATTTTTTTTGTAATATACTATGTCATATAATAAGCAAATTCTTTATTTGTCACATACTGAATATTTATATGAATATTCTAGAGTAATAATATTGAAGTATGGTAAGGGATGACCCAGAAATTAGCCTCTGTTAAATATCTATAAATATATTAGTTCTCTTCTTTAACATGATGTATTATTTTACTGAAAGGTTAGAAAAATCTTTTTTATATATTTAAACTTGAAGATATAAGTTCTTAATACTTTATATTACAGGTATGTATTTAGTTAGCAATAACAGTAATGTACAGTTCTAGTTTATATAGAAAATCTGACATAGTCGATTAGATAATATTATTTGAGATCATTTTATTAATGGTATTTATTATCTAATAGCAACTATACATATGCACTACTTCTCTATTTTAAAACTTTATACAGTCAAAGAATTTAGTAATATTACTAAAACTTGTAAGTTCTAGTTTTTTGTAAAGCTTTTTTTTCAATAACTGAAACTTATATATGAAGTAATTAGCATAGTAAAGGTTTATTGTTAGTAATATATTTTATTCTTACTATTTGCAAGTATTTCTTAAAAGTGTGTCTAGTAGTTTTTGATCATATTCAATATTATGAATAATTTTAGCAATCTGAATTTATGTAACATTGAGTTCAAATGAAGCTATTTTTGATAAAAGTAAGAGTCATAGTATGTATAAAGGTTGGAATCAGAATTATCTTCGTTATGTATTTTATTAGAGAAGTTATAATTTGGGATCACTATATTATGCAAATTAATAGAAAAAGTATTAATATCTATTTGAATATATTGTATACTTGAAAAGGAGTCGTTTAGTATATGATATTTAGGATCAGATAGCAAAAGGTTTGTAAAAGATAAAGATAAAAGTTATTTTCTACAAGTCAAGTGATAGCTTATTATAAAATTTCATCAGGAGTTAGAGTATTCTAGCCTTATTATTAGTACAGTTATTTTTGTTTAACTTCAGAAAAGCTCTTAATACTTTAGAATATAAAGTATATACTCTAATATTCTAGAAGTAGTTTATTGTACTAGTCAAGTTTCTATATAAATCATATAATATCTAATATACTTTTTTAGAATATAAAAGTCTTTCACAATATATTTAAGGAATTTGAAGTCATTATAATAGAATAGTATTTTAAAATCTACTATATAACTTTTTAATTTTGGTAAAAGTCTTCAGTATAGTAGTCAGGAGAGCAATAGATAACTTAAAAGGTTATCATCATGATCTTGATCTAGAACAGATAATATAGGATCAGGATTATTATTATCTATTGTAAAGTTTAATATGATTTTGTATTTATTATTAAAGGTATATACATTATAGATTATATAAGCTATAATCTCTCTTTTTTTACCTTCTTATATGATAAGTAATATATTATAGAGATTATTCTTTTCTTTTTTTGAAGATCTGAAAAGGTACAAAATAAATGATTTATAATAAATTTTAAAAAAATAAAATATTAATTTTAAATTTAAATAAATATTATTTGTTATTTTTATTTTTCATAATTGAATGTAATATTTCTATAAATATTTATAAGAAATATCAAGAAATAGATTCT